AAATGCCTTTTGCAAAATGGATGAATGTCCAGCAACATAAATATGAAGGCATAAAAGTGCCTAATATTCGGATTGGTGAGGCGTGAAATTGAGGAATACAGACTAGTAATGTGTTTACTACGTGCTTATATATACCTCCAGGATTAGGTGATCAGGGTACCTCCTTCCAAGAAGAGCATATGCATTCCATACCAGACATTTTCATGCATGTTTAGACCTCTCAGTAGCTTGGGCGGCTCTGGGATACCTACCCTGAGTGAGAGGCGCTGTGTAACTGCAAGTTGTTGTGGTGGTGGTGATCAGTTTCGGTACGCATCAGACACCCACTGACCAAAATAAATTTGTTTTCGCTGGAATTAATTGTGGGTTTTGGAGGAAAATTTAAACCACAAAAGCTTTCCACCCACCCCCTCTCCTCTTATCATAAACCTGTTGGTTTATGGTTTATAAAGTGATAAATAATAATAATAATCATAATCCTTGCATTTGATATTGGGTTGATCACGTCTTCGAGATGTTTCAAAGTGCTTCACAGGATATACTGTAAAGTGAATTGACTGTATATTTTGTGGGCGAAACGATCAATCATTGATAAACCATCAATGACAAATCCAGTCAGAAGGAAAAGGATTCGGAAGAAGTCAGGCGGAACTCAGCACGAGGTCTGAGTTCAGTTGGAAAACTGCAGATTCGAGAAATTAAATCCAATGATGAAGTAAGTCCTACAATGACATGACCTGTCTTTCCACTTCACCGCTCTGAATGCTTGTCAGCTGCTGCTTATATGTTTTTTCTGGCTGCCGTGTTCTATGCTCACTCTTTAAATGAAGCTACCTGGGTTGCCATATTTCCTCTCCTGCCACGGACTGTGGGTAATTGGTGCGAGTCGTGGGTCCACTGTTCCACGAGGTACTCTCCTCGGACTGATAGCTTTCTTTTTTTCACACAGGAACAAGGAGGTTAGTCGTGGCTGGTCCGTGTCTTTTGCTTGGCTAAAATGGAAAATGCCATTGGGCCGGTTTAAGCATTCAACGCTGTGGGAAAAATCTAGTGACAAGAGGAGAATAAATCCCCCCCCCCAAAAAGGTCAACCTTTGACTAAGCAGGACAAATGTATCATGGGCAGAAGGCAAGCCAAACTAAGTGGCTTCCCTTATCGGGTTATCTGGTCAGATGGAAAAGAAATAAACAATTACGTTAATGAGGACTATGGTCCTGAAAAGGATGACATACCCAGAGGTTTTAAGTCTCATTTGCTGGTTGCACCAGAATGTAAATCATTCGTTGTTCACTGAAACCCAACTTAAAAGTTTAGGCTGGATTCAACAATTTACCAGATTCTGGATGCTCTAAAAATCCTGTATAGAGTAAATCTACACCCAGGTGGAATTTCTCCCTAAATAACTGTCGCTACTCTTGCCAACAATTACCCCTGAAGTAACGGGTACCATACCAAATGGAAGAAATATTGATGCTTAGCTCAGTTGAGCTCCCCTACCATACGAGTTTTTCGTTTAACAGATGAACCATCCCTGTCACCTGAACAAAATGACCATTTTAGTGGCTTTCCTGGCCACTAAATATATAATTAATCCTGCACATTCTTTTTTTTCCCCCCCAATTTTCTCTCCTCATCTTCTGAAGGCAGTGACTCACGCTGGCATAATGGTTTCACGAGCACTTATATTCTCTCCAGCATCTTGCGCTCCCATTTTCAGGGCTTAAAGATATGATTTCAAAGGGAGCCATCATTTTGAACTCACAACTAGTAAACCACCACTGGATAAATACAGTTATGTGTTACTTTAACAGCTTGTAGGACATCGCAGCTTTTCCAATAGTTAGCACTAAGTGTGAACAATCAGCGTAATAGCTGTTCTGGATCTGATTTAATGCTCATATCTTTTCCTCCTCAAATCCACGATCTCTTGAACTAGATACTCCCTTAAGCCTCATTGGAATCCCAATGCAGTGACTCATAACTCCAACACAGGAATTCAAGGAAGCTCATAGCTAAACCCCGAGCCAAATCAGAGAGTTTCTGACTCCTTACACAGGAACTCACAAACTCTCAAAGTGAAACACAGCATTAGCAACGATAGCTACATAGCACTTTTCAGGTAGGGAGAACAACTCAAAATGCATTACAAACATTGAATGGGGACGTGGACTAGGGGGCCTGAGGGGGAAGATGCAGTCAAAGAGATGAGTCAAAGATGCAGTCAAAGAGAGATGCGTGGTGCATCAAGGACTTTGAGGCACTTGAAGGTAAAGATGAGGACCTTACCTGAGAGATAAGGAGCCAAAAGAATCAGGTGGCAGCGAACATCATAGATTTACAAACAATGTACTTCACAGAAACAAGCCACTCGGCCCAACAAGACCTTATCGGTGTTTATACTCCACACAAGTGTCCACCTATTCCTTACTCCCTCCCATACCCTTCTATTCCCTTCTCCCACATGTGAAGGTCTAGTTTCCTCTTGAATGCATCTGGACTATCCAATTCAACCACAGCTTCAAGGCAGCAAGTTTCACAATTTTATTACCCTCTGTATTAGCTAGTTTCTGCTAAATTCTCTTTTTACATCCCCTAGTCCCTGTCTTACCTGAAAGGGTGGTGAAAGCCAATTCGATAACAACTTTCCAGAGAGTAGATATTTAGGGAGGACAAGAGCCAGTACAGATGATGGGCCGAATTGCCTTCTTCTGTGCTGTATAATTCCATAATTCTATGGTACCTTCTGGGTGTAAAAACTGCCTCCTGATTTCACTTGCAAATGGCCTAGCTCTAATTTTAAGATTTAATTTAATTTTAATATTTACTTAAAACTAATTATTTAATTTAATTACATTTTAATTTTAAGAATCACTTCCAGGCGTCTAAAAAAAAAAAAGAATCTCTGCAGGTCAGTATGAGCACATCTGGTCACTGCAGGATTTAATGTTTGCAACAGCGCATTTTCAGTCCCTAAAAAGGAGAGTTTGAGAATTTTTCTGATTTTCTGACTCAATGAACAGGCATAAGGTAAACACGAGGGGCCCACAATTTCACCTAGTTCTCGCCTGAAAGTTCATTTCATCTTAAAATTGAAGATTAGACAGAATGATGGAAAACTCTTCAATTCAGGGTTAGTTTGGAAGCTGCTTTTACAGTTAGTCAAAGGTGGAATGTTTGTAAGACAATACAATATGAGGGCGATGTGATGGCTTCAATCTTCAAACAGGGCAGCTTGACTGGAGGTTCATAATACCCAACACTGTGATTCATAGTTTCCCAACGGTGATTCACTGCTCTTCAAGGAATTTCCTGACATGGGAATTCATGAAGTGTCATCAGAGTCCCAACACAGCGATTTACACAGCTTCACTGAGCCTCCCAACACAGTTAATCATAGCACTAAACTCCAACACACAGAGTACCTCATGTTGGCTCATCATTGCAACTCAAAATCTTCCCTCCGTAGTAGATAATTCATAGCCATCCTATAATTATAATTTCCAACAGAAAGCAATTCAGCATCTTGGGGTTCCCCATTATATTGATTCCCAGAACAATATCCCGCATGACGATGATTTGAGGACAGCCCATACACAGCCATCAGAGCTTCCCACTGCACTTGGCATGCAAGGAATCAATTAAAGAGGTTCCAACATTGTCACAGAGGTGCCAGTGTTCACTGAAGTGGTTTGGACATGAACCATTCAAGCAGGTTCCTCAATCCAAAAAAGCAAACCATTTGTAAATTTCTGGGACAGGGTTACAGATGGAATTCTATCTGGGAAATTGCTGCACTTTGGATACGCGTATGTTTTAGAGCTTCAGTTAAATCAAAACGCAGGCATGATATCATTTTTACTGGACAGAAATTCGAACAGCCACAATGACTGGTGATTGCATCTGTCCTATTTCATGTTTGCAGCAAGAAGTCAATAGTTCACAACTGTTTCCACGTCAGAATCCGTGGAGTTTCCTTTTGTAGATTTTTCTTACCTTTGTGTTTGAGGTCAGGAATGATTAAGTGCTGTCTGTGGTTGTTATCTTTGTGGTACCTTATGTCAATAAATGCACATCGAATTTTTACCTTCAGAAGACGTTTGCACAACGTAACTCCTGACCACAGAAAAACAATGCTTCCCTGCGGATGACGTATGCGTAAGGAGCATGTAATATGCGCATAGCAGTGTCCCACACACAGCCATGGAGTGAGTGACCAATTTTATTTGGTGGATTTGTGGGCCAAGAGAAACTCCCTTCTCTTTTAGAATAGCGCCATGTGATCTATTTAACGTCCTCCTGAATGGGCAGACAGGACCTCGGTTTAAAGTCTCATCCAAAGGACAGCACCTCCAACAGTGCAACACCCCCCCAGTGCTGCACTGGAGTTCAGCTTAGACTGTGTGATTTCAAGTCCTGACGTGGAGATTGAACCCACAACCTCACCTGCACATTGAGGTACATTCTAGTAATCGCACTGTGTGCTATGCGTGTATCACGTGTCTGCATCATTAACAAAATAACACCTGCATTAGTTGCTGTGAAGGTATACCTGTGGGGTTGTGCTTTAAAATGTTTTCCAGAATCCTCAACATCATCAGGTTTTTTCACGCTGATATCTTATCACTCAGGGTGGAATGTCATGAAAACACCCAGGGAACTAAATTTCCAGTGGTATTATTTCCAGTGAATCTGATTAACTTATTCGATAGAGTATGTATCATAGAATCAGAGAATCATAAAACGCTACAGCACAGAAGGAGGCCATTCGGCCTATCGTGCCTGTGCGGGCTCTTTGAAAAGAGCTATGCAATCAGTCCCTTCTTGCCCGCTCTTTCCCAATATCTTTTTTTCCTCTTCAGGTACTTCTCCAATTCCCTTTTGAAACTTGTTATTGAATGTGTTTCCACCACCTTTTGGGCAGGGCATTCTCTTTTGCATCGGAATATATTCATGTGGTTTTCCCAAATGTCATTGGTTACTGCAGGCTGCTATGACCTACCTTACCACTGGTTCAGGAATCGACTCGGAATTGGCAGGCACCTGAACCCCCTTCTCCCATTCCTGTCGCCAGGCATCAGCCAGTATGTAGTAATCGTCTGGGTTCAGCTGGTAGGACTCGGGGAGCTTCATGGCAGTGATCAGATCCGTTCGAAAAACCTTTTGGGGGGAGGAAAATAGATGAAAAGGTTGGCATTTATTATTCCCCTTAGGCATTCCCAAGCCATGTGCCATCTCACACTAAAACAAAGTGGCCCGAGCCATGTCCTTTGAGACAGAACGCCGAGAGGAAATTCTGTCTCATATTTCCTTGTGTACTCTCACTCACCAGGCTCCGTGACCCCATCAGCCCCACCCTCCCCTGACTCCCCATCCGCTAGAGGATCAAGTTCAAGATCCTCGTCCTCACCTTTAAGGCCCCTTCCTACCTCTCTGACCTGCTGACTTCCTACCAACCCGCCCGCTCCCTCAGTTCAGCGAGCTCCTGCCTGCTCCATGTCTCCCGCCCGACCTGCCCTACCATCGATGGCCGGGCTTTCAACCTCTCTGCCCCCACACTCTGGAACTCCATCCTATGGTCCCTTCGCCTCGCTTCCTCTCTCGTCTCCTTCAGGCCGGACTCAAGACCCTTCTCTTCGACCGTGCTTTCGGTCTCCCTCCCACCTCTCTGCTTTCGCTCACCCCTACCCCACCCCTCCCCCATGCTTGGGCCCCGACACCTGACTGTTCAGCGCTTTGTGACATCCTCCCGACGTGAAACGCTTTCCATAAATGTAATTTTGTTGTTGTTGTTGTTATTGTTGCTACTTCCTAAATGTGAAGTGTGGGTGATGGGTTGGGGGGGGTTGAGATAATTCTGTAGAATGGCCGTCAATGACTCACTGTGTTGGGAAATTGGTCGGGGGGGGGGGGAGCAAGGCAGAAGGATTGAGGGAGAGAGTTCCTGTATTTCAGGACGTAGTGGCTGTCAGCATGGCCGCCAATGGCGGAGCAGAAAGGACAAGAGACAGGCAGAAGGTTGGAGCAAAGAGGGAAGATAGAGGAGTGGGTGTAAGCAGGTTGGAGAGGTAGTGAGGTGCTGGGGCATGAAGTAATGTACTTGACTATGAGGATCTTGAAATCAATCTGTTCCGCAACAGGGAGCCAGTGGAGCCCGGCAATTTTTTTTGTCAACCGGGTGTCTGACACGTGCAGCAACCCATCACCTGTCTTAAGAGTACTTTAACCAAACTAAGAGTTCCATTCATCCCACTATAACATTTCTTGGAAATTCCTGGGATATTTATTGGAATGGAATGCACACACTTTCCCTGGAGGGACACATCCTGCTTTTTTTTTCATTCCGGAGAGTATCAGGCGCGAATTGGCAAAAGAACCAAAGCTTGGGGACTCTAGAGCGTGCTGGAGTCATTGAAAGCACTGTCTGGCAAGCATTCCAACTGCTCCGCAGCTAGGACCACCCTCCCCATTACGGCTTTGGCTTGTAACAATACAATACAAAATGACATTTATACAGCGCCTTTCACATCGGGAGGATGCCTCAAGGTGCTGGACAGTCAGGGATTTGGATCCGAGCTGGGGGTTGGGATCAGGAGGGTTGGAGAGCAGGGGAGGAGGATGGCTGAAGACGCAGTCGAAGAGGAGCATCTTGAGACGAGCCTTGAAGGAGGCAAGGGAGGGAAGAGTCTGGCCATCACGTCACACAATCACGATGAATTCAGATGAAGAAAGCTCTTCTCATCTGATGTCAAGCTGTTTTTTATATGCGTCCATTTCCTGGGCCTCGGCCTCCCTTCCCAGCAAACTGTTTCAGCCGTTAATACCCTCTGCGTAAACCCAAATTTGATCTACTGTCTTTGTGCATTTGTTCTACATTTACTTTTTCAATGCTATTTCAAGTACTATACACCTCTATAAGGTCCCGTTTTAGACAAGGGACAACTTTTATTTATATAGGGCCCTTCTTGCAGGGCTGGCCTCTCGAAGTGCTTATCTGTGGCAGAACTTGAAACTGAGCTGGAAATTTCTCTCAAGCCCAGTTTACATTCTCACACAGGACCTGACCTAACCCTGAAATGTGATCAGACCTGCTCCAGCTGCTGGGATTCCTGTTTGCCAAATTAATATTGTTTAAAATAATAATCCTTGCATTCGATATCGCGCCACATCACATCGTTGAGATGTCTCAAAGCACTTCACAGATTTTACTATAAGGTTGCGTGACTGTGTATTTGTAGCTGAGATCTCATGATACCACCTCAAAAAAGACAGAGGAGCGTCAATCTATTCAGTCCCTCTATTATCTGAATCTGAGTCTGTGATGATCAGATTCACATTCGGAGTACAGTCTGGTATCTGAGCCACGAGGGTTTTCAATCAATGATAGACTATTGTGTTCAATTCAAAGCTTAATTGAGAATTAAATATGATCCTATAGTGGCAAACCAAAAATTCACAAGGATCATCAGATTTCAGCAATTCGAGTGATTTGAACACCAGCAGAACACAATCCTCAGCGTTGTACAAATTCATTTGGACTAGGCCAACTCCGGAAGTCTGCTACTTGCTTGCTTGGACCCATTTGCAAACAGAGATCCTACTACTAATAATAATCCTTTCAGTTGATATAGCGCCTTATCACATCGTCAAGACATCTCACAACGTTTCACAGGATAGACTGTAAAACTAATTGACTGTTTATTTTGTGGGCTAAACAAGTGAGCCAACTTACGCAAGCAATGCCCCACAAATAGCCAACAACAACAACTTGCATTTATATAGCACCCCTCACGCAGGGGAGTGTCCCAGTGTGCTTGAAAGTGGCGGAGCACGATGCCGAGCCAGGGGGAGGGGGAGATGACTTCGATCTTGCTGACATTCAACTGGAGAAAGTTAACTCTCACCCAGGACTTGATGTCCATCAGTGATCCTGGTATCAAGGATGGAGGCAGAGAGGTAAGAGTTGGGTGTCATCCATATGCATGTGGTTTATCCTCGTTGCTCCCCAATGTGTATCTATCATTTATCCTTAGGACCTAGACCTCTGCTTGGTGTGTTTCTAGAACCACAAATTAGTTTGTACACCTCAATTTGCCCTTTGCTTTCTGTTTACTGCCCTCCACCCACCAGGCACATGAGTCACACATTCCCCACAGAGAAGACATTCAGTCCTGAATGTCTCACCAGTCTTGACAATAGCTCAATAACTTCTAGGTGGTAACACACCTTCCAACCTGTCTTTCCATCTTGTATGAAAGCAACATGAAGCAAATGGAAGTTTCTCTCAATGGCTCAGCTGGTAAATCTGTTACCCAGTGCGGAACTGTGCCGTGTAGCTCAGGAATGCCTGATCCCTGATTTGTGTTGAGTTGGCTGTTCTCAGCCAGGGTGATAGTGGGGGCATTGCATTTGATCCCATATCAGTGCCTAGCCTAGAGAAGAAGCAGAAATCAGCTGGGGTTTCCCCATTTCTCATCACTATCCGATAATTCCTGCTAGAAAGTGCAACATTCATTGATTCAACAGTGATGAATTGCCACAGCTCAATAAGCTGCCAAACTCGCTGAATGGAGAAGGTACGAAAAGTCTCGATTGCCATGAAAACAAGGAACAATATAAGTTGCCACCTTCAGGAAAAGAGGCAGAGGCATGAGGGAGAAAAGCAAATTGACTTGAATCATGCTGAATAAATGTTGAATTTCCATCATGTCTCTATTACTTTGCCAGGGACTTGCAGCACTGGTTTTCTAAGTGATAAATTTTACTGCAATGTAATTATGCCACTGAACCAAACCTAATTAATGCCCATGAACTGGGAAGGTACAGCCCCTCTCTTTAACATTACAACCGGCATATCACATAATGATTGCTTTTTATCCGCTGCAGAATACAAAAGGGTGAAGCGACAATTTTTCTTGATATTTCTTGTCATCTGGATAATTGGAAACCCCATGTAGAGCTAGTTTCTCAGCTACCAGCCTAATATTTCATAACACCTCTATGATTTTCAAAATTTTTTTTTTTGAGTTTTTTTTGTATCTGAATATATCCTCATTTTTGTCTCCTTGTCTCTGAGATCTTAGCTATAGCTTATATATGTGGATTTTAGATTTAGCGTAGTAGTTAGCGAGCTCGCCTGTGCAAGCGAGAGGACCCAGGTTCGAATCCCGGGCCGGCCGTAACCTTGGGCTTACTCCACACACCTCTGTTTGCCTAGCAGTAACTGGGAACCCGGTTGTTAGTGGATCGCTTTCCGGGGATAATAATCCCTTAAGAAAAATTGGTCACTCAATCCACGACACTGCTGTGTGCAATTGGCTGCTGCATTTCGCCCACAAAATATACAATCGATTCACTTCACAGTATATTCTGTGAAGCACTTTGAGACGTCTCAGCAATGTGATACGGTGCTATTATTATTATTATTATCTTGGTGGCTCTGGCAAATTTAATTCCCTCCAATTGTTAAAGGGAAATATCTGTAAACTGACTGGTGTCTCTCAATTTCAAACTGGAGGTTAGAGATGGGCTGAAAGCAGACAATGTTGTAAAACTCCTATGAAATGTGACAATAAAATTGCACTTCAGTCCCACCTACATGATAATACAGAATGTGTTAAACACAGAATGTAAAAGAGCTAGGAGTGTTAATTCATATTGGGTAACACAGAACTAATTGTGTGTTGCAGAGGTTACCACAGGCAATGATAGGTTTGCAGAGGATCATACTTCCAGTTGCTAAAATATCTAAAAAGTGTCTTGAGGGGAGAGTGGGATCAAGGAGACATATCTCTTTAAGATTAAAATTTTAAATTCATTTTACAATATATTCTGTGAAGCATTTTGAGAAGTCTCAACAACCTAATAAGGCGCTATATCAAATGCAAGTATTATTATTATCAGCAATCAGAGTACTCCCGTGACTCCTCAATGCGAAACGAAGATGTAGAAATGCTGTGAGTCCAAATTTGTATAAAATGATTACTTACTTCCAGGGGTAGTTAATGCAATTTGATTCCTGTTTGGTCACTATGAAATACAGAACCAGCACAGAGCCAGCTCTGTCAATGATGGTGACGTCACCTGAATCCCTGGCTGATAAGACAATTTCAATTTCTTACAGATATGAAGATACCTTACAGATATCTTACAGATATGAA